ACCAGCTGATAAAAGCCCATGATCACTCCCAGACAGGGAAACAGTCTTGGAGGTGACTCACTGTCTCCCAGATCTGTGTAATAAAGTGCATTTATGGATAATGGGGAAAAAAAACACAACCAACCAACCCAATCTTTGCTTTCCCCTTGGGGTCAGAACAGTTTGGGCAATAGTTGACATTCTTGATCTTTGAGTAATAAAAGGTCTGTTAATCTCCAATACTGGCTGAGTGTTTAAATCTCACATTTTCTGCCATAGCAATACCAGCAATCAAGAAATCAAATGATGTGTATTGGACAAAACTACTGTCAAGGATCTCTTTAAAGTGTTAAAAAACGATGTCAGTTTAAAGACCAAGGTGCACATGACACATGCCATGGTATTTTCCATTGCTTCGGGCCATGGCCTTCTCAATTGGTTGCTGTGCCTCTGAGAGCCGGACAGTGACTAAGGCTGATAGAAGAAGTGACGCCTTTTGAGTTGTGGTGTTGGAGAAGATTATTGAACATATCACGGACTGCCAAGAGAACACTGTTCTGTCCTAGAGAGGGTGAAACTAGTTTGCTCCTTGCAGGCAAGGATTTTTCAAGCTCTGTCGTCACACATACTTGGGCATGTTGTCAGTAGAAATCAGTCCTTGGAGAAGAACATCATGCTTGGAAGGGTAAAGCTTCAGCAAAGGAGAGGAAGACCCTGGAGAAGACATACTGACACAGTGACTGTGTTAATAGGCAGATGTGTCAGGTGAGATTGGCTCGAGATAGAGCAGGATTCAGAGCTACTGTGCATAGGGTTGCTTTGAGTCGTCCACTTATGACACATAACAACAACATATGCAAGTAAAAATTGAACAATGAATAGTCTACTAAGATTGATGCTTCCAAATTGTGTGGTGTTTGGGAAAAATTTGAATATATCCTCTCTTGTTGCTGTGGGGTGGGAACAAACTCATAACTGACATTGAGCTCTCAAGGCTGTACATTGCAAGGAATGAGACTGCCCATCTTTCACCCTCCAGGCTGCTAGCGCATTCCAGCCATTGGGTTAGCTGTGCAAATCCCTATGAATTATGCCACCAGAGTTCCCTGAATATACCACGTACTGCCTAAAGAACAAGTAAAACTGGTTTGGAAGAAATGCAGCCAGAGTTCTCCTCAGACGAGAAAGGACAGTGAGACTTCCGTTCACATACTTGGTGCATGTCATCAGGAGAAACCAGATCCTAGACATGGACATCAGGTTTGGCAATGTAGTTAGTGAAAAAGAAGAGACTCTTCCACGACTTTGACAGCGACTGAGAGACCAAATTCCAGTGGCTTACTGATGCTACCAAGCCAGAGGTGGGTGACTTTAAATCCACAGATCTCAGGCCTGTTTTTGGTTAAACATTTTTCTAGGTCCTAACGCCCTGTTTACAGAGGTAACTCGTGGTTGCCGTGATGCAAAACACTGTGAAACAGATGTGTCAAAAGCGATAATGGTTACCCATGGTGGACAGTGTTTGGTGCAGCTTCTGATTAAAGCAAACTTGGAAGCAGGAGTGGCATCCACTTCTGAAATAGCTTCCTTCCGGAAACTCTATGAATGTGGAGGATATACGATGAAAGTTATACAAGTGTTCAGGTCTTTCGTTCATAGGGTTGTTATGAGTCGCCGATGACTAGATGGCATTTGACAACAACAGTGGTAAGGAGCTCCACTGCCGACAAGAGATTCAATCCACCAACTGCTCCACTGGAGAAAGATGGGCAATCTCTTCCCATATGTTTACTCCTTCTGAAAGCCCGCTGCAGGGTTGGTTATGAATCAATTTCAACCTGATGGTATGTAATAACTGCAGTGACTTAAGTACAGCAGAGTCTGGAGCTCTGGTGGCCTAGTGGCAAGAAGCTGCCTGCAATCCCAGAGGTATGCGGTTCAAATCCACTAGATCCTCTGCTGGAGAAGGTCTGTTTCCTCCTGTACCCGTCAGATTCGATTTGATGGTACACATACAAAAAATAAATAAATAATAATAAAAAAAAGTACAGCAGAGTTTTTAAGCACGGCAGAAGATGGGGCAAGGTCAGATGGAACAGAGTCTAACAAGAGGCGTGCTGATGCAGTGTTTAATACGCTTGGCTGCTACCCACAAGGTCTGAGGCTAGAACCCACGAACTGCACAGTCAGAAAAAAATGTGACAATGGGCGCTTGCACAGGGCATACTAAAACAGTCGCCATTGTACTAGCTCCGGCCTAGTGAAATGAACCAGATTCTGAAGCATTCTTGCACACAGCGTCAATCACGCGAGGATTGCACTAGGACGAGGCGATCTCCGCCCCTCGAGCTGCCCTGCGGGCTCTGGGTAGTTGCTGTTGGAAGAAGCGGTACCGCCTGGTCTACTCCGCTGAGAGCTCACACCGCCCCCAGGGTGCCGCCAGCACCGCCGACGCTGTTTCTTCCTTCACCACCTCCCTCCGCTGAGCCCGCCCAGCCTGGGACTCCGCCCAACTTCCGGGCGGGCTCCGGCTGTTCCGTCCGGCGCCGCCCCTCCCCGGCGTCACCTCCCAGAGCGCCTTTCCGCTGCCCCGCCCCCCGTGCAGGCGGCCCGTCCCTCCTACATCCGGGTACTGACTCAAACCCCACAGACTCTGGCACTATGGTCATGGCGGAGGGTACGGCAGTGCTGAGGAGGAACAGACCGGGGACCAAGGCTCAGGTACGGTCTCCCCACTGTTCCTACATGGGTGCACTCGGTGCCGCGCCAGGAGGCTGGCTACCCCTGAGGCGAGGTTAGGCCGGGCCAGGTCGCGTCGGGCCGGCCTGATGGGCCGGCGGGCGCGGGGACTGGTGCCCGGCCTCCTCTTCCGGAGCTGTGGCTCCTCAGTTGGGCTGAGCCGGCGGCGATGGCGGCGGCTGAGGCCTGAATCCCGATTTGGGGGTGGAGGCCTAAGGGTGGACTTCTGACAGCAGCCGCGGCCAGGGCGGCCCCGCCGGGACCCCCCACTTGGTCCTCACTGCAGGGGCGCGGCCCTGCCTGGTGGAGAGCCTGGACTTCCTGCGGCTCGGAGCCGGCGGGGTGGGCGGGGGCAGCACTGCCGGTGGGTGATGGATCTGCCGGCCCCGCGGAGCGACCGCGCTCTGTCCACGGCTGTGCACCCGGGGCCGCCTCGTTCTGTCTACGGCTGTGCACCCGGGGCTGCCTCCCTCTATCACAGTTCGCTCGGGACCATCTCGCTTTATCTCTCTCTGTGCGCCCGGGACCACCTCAGGCTGCTCCTCTCTCGCTCCTGGTGGCGCCCTGGAACGGCAGGTTCTTATCCTCGGGTCGGGACTTGTTGGCTGGCAACCCTTCCCGAGTTCCTGGTGTTTTGTGAAGCGCGGTCTGAGAATGAACAATGAACGCGTAATCTGACTAACTTTCACTAGGACATCCTTTGGGAAGAGTTAGCCCTCCTGTAGGTATGGTGCAAAGGATGCTGTGCTTCTCGTGTGTGTGTGTGTGTGTGTGTGTGTGTGTGTTTTAATCCAGTTGACACCTAGAATTGATTTGATTCTACCCGAAATTCTTGCTGTTGAGAACATGCTCTCCAAAGATGTGTTTCAAATGTACCGTCCATAAAGTGAAGCAAATAGGACAGGAAACGACCCTGAAGAGCTTACTGTGCCTGAGAAGAGCTTTTCATTTCTTGCAGAGTTCCCTGAAAGGGAGCCCGACTCTTTCCCAAATCCATGTTATGGGTGAAAAACTGAAGCCCAGAGAGCCAGCTGAGTTTGTCCAAGGTCACTGGGGCTTCTGATTCCTAACTCACTGGTCATCTCTGCTCTTTGACAACTTGCTTCGAGTGCTAAATTTTGGGGAATTTGCTTTGGAAGACTTGTAGAGGGACAGCTACTCTTGTTGACAATTTTAAGGTCATACTACTGGAAACTTCTGTATTGTGTATGATTTTTTTACTTTTTCCCCAAATTTTCCTTCTAAATGTCCTCCTCCTCTCCCCTTGAAAATCGGTTGTTTTATGGAAACATTGTTTCTGATTCTTTTTTAAAACAAAACAAACTCGATTCATTGTGTATGTTTATATACAGAAATGAAACTTCTGTATTCACGTTCTGAGTTACTTTTTTTGTTATTTACTTTTTATTTACAAAAAAGTCCTTAAATTTGAGAGGTTAGAAAACATTATGTTTTAGCTTAATGTTGTAGCATATCAGTTTGCTTTATTGTCAAGTGTAAGTCATACAGGAAAGCACCCTTGCTTTTCCCTACACCAGGTTGTAAAAGAAAAGTAAAAATTGAAAAGAAAGCCTATTTTTTTAAATACAGTGATTTATTTACACAGTTTGTATACATTGTTTTTCACATCAGATCTTTCCCATTTCTTCACCCCCTTCATCAGATTGTGTGACCCAATGATTAATGCCCCCATCTTCATTCCTCTGATAGAAAACTGATTCTTTTTTTTTTTTAATTTTTTATTATTTTTGTGTGAGTGTAGCGTCAAATCAGATCTGACTGGTACAGGAGGAGATTGTCCCTCCTTCCCCAGCAGAGCATCTGGTGGATTTGAACCGTGCACCTCTGGGGTTGTAGTTGCAGCTCCTTGCCACTAGGCCACCAGACCTCCCCAGAAAACTGATTCTTAAGCCAGTCGTCTATTTCTTGTCTTTCACATTAATTTCATTCAATGAAATAGTTTGCTTATAAAATGCAGGTTTAGAAAGCCAGTAGAGTAAGGCAGGCTATCTTGCTACATTTTTCTTTTTTAAAGCTAGAGTACCATATAGGCACATACTTAATGCTTAGTAAATGTTTGTTGATGGAATTAAGTATATTGACTGATTTAGGCCAAAATTTTTACTCATATTTTCGGTGACAGAAATGGAGCTGGAGAGAGAATGATCGAATTTTGCACAATCAATGACTTATTCATA